ACTGACCATGACGGAAGATACGAGGGTCCCGGATGCGAAGAGGAAGAAGGTGCCGATGCCGCCGGCCATGAATAGCTCCACTGAGAAGCCATCACGAGATAGGAGGTTGCCGGCCACACTGCTAATGGGTTAAACGCTAGGGGTACGCCACACATTTCCGAGACAACAACCATTGCCAAAACGACACCCGAATTCCGACCGGGCCCGGGGCAGTAAGAGACCAAAAAACAGCGTTAGCTACACAAAGCTTCAAAAAAGGAAGGAAACCCTGCAGTAAGGTGAGCACATGCTCGGATGAGGCTCTGGCGTGCACTTTTTGTCGCAAAATATCGTCGGTAGTCGAAGACGGCAGTGTGGCGAAGTATGCTCTTATTCGCAATGAAACATCACTAATTGTCATTGGCTACAACAGCTCCTGGTGCAGGTTCACGAGCGGAGGACACCAGTGGGTGGCTTTGCATCGGTGGGCCATGCGAGTCCAACGATCTGGCTTGCCTCCGGGATCACCATCCAACACTTGCCCGACACATAGTGGATGACATCAGGACGTTCGCTGGAGTCCAGGGCCTCAATGCAAGCTTGCTCTCCTCCCGATCGAATCGGCTGACAGGTGCCAACAGCGCGTCCGAACAACAGCAATTGAGCCATGTTAAAAGACATGCTCCAGTTCTGGCTCATCGTGCGAGCGATTTCTTCAGCGTCGTAGTCGGCGTGTCCAGTGATCTTCCAGCCCTGGGCATAAAAGGCTGGGCACTCCGAGGAGTGCTGCCGGGAAGGATGGATCTGTCGGCTCCGCAGGATGCCGCGAGTACCTCCAACACTGGAAGCGTGAGTCCAGAGCAGCATGGGTCGCGTCTTCGTCGGTTCTTTGAGCCGGACTGTGGCCCCAAGATAAGGGACGGTCAGCATGAACCAGTGCGGGGTGATCTTATAAAAATGATGATCCGGGTTGACCTTCGCATAGTTCAGGGTGGAGTGCTGAGACGGTATGCCTGCTGCATTCAAGGTCGCGGCCACATAGCTCATCTGCTCCTGATTGACTGGGATCCCATCACGAAGATATGGTGCGGCCAGCACCTGAAGTTCGTTCCTCCAGGGATCAGACTCCGGGTTGGGAAGCAAGACCAGCGGTGGATGTGCCTGCGGATTGGGGCGTAGTTGCATGCTCCTCGAAGACGACCCCACATCCGGGTGAGCTCCTGCGGCCTTGGAGGCTGGAGCTGATGGGGCACTGCTTCTGCTACGCGGAAGGGGAGATCGATTGCTTCTCGGTCGTCGGGATGAAGCTTTAGTTGCCGTAGGTGCCCGGGATGAGGACTTGGCTGCTGTGGGCGCCGGCGCGGTAGCATTCGATGCTGCCGTCATGGTGTTGTCCGATGTTGAATCCTTTCGGGAGATCGGAGGTGGCGTCCGGGAGCGAGCTCGGCCTCGCCGCTGTGGGGGCACTGACTTGGAGTAGGGGGAAGCGTTGTGGGAACGTGACCGGTCTCCTTCCGTCGTGTGGCGT